CTTTTACTGGTGCTTTTACAGGACGACTATAGAATATTTTTATTTTTTCAAAAAGTAGAGTTCAAGGCGAAAAGAATGAGCCCTATTTGAAAATTGAAAAAAAATTTTTTTTTCAATGTAAACGTCCACTTGAAGTTGGGGGTGATTTTCAACCTCTCGAGACCATAAAACATACTTCTCTCGGCAATGGCTAAACATTCCAATTTCAATTTTTTTACATTATTATGTGCATTTCGAAGATTACATTACCTTAGTTTCATGGAAATCGAAAAATTATTCAAGAAATTAAAAAATAAAAAAAACAAGAAAAAGTTAAAAACCGAGTTTTTTGCAAATATCTACCTCGAAAACATTGGAGGTTATTGTAAAAAGTTTTATATATTAAAGTTGTAGATTTTTACTAGTTCTACTAATAAAGATGAGAACAATTTGACGAAAGGACATAGTATCATGCAGTCGGAGACGTATGTATGTTTCATAGTAGCTGCGTGTATGTATTTACGTCTCCGTGATATGAGACTCGCTTTATCAAGACGAATCTAACGACGCATGAATAATCAAAATCGGTTAAGCCGTTTAGTAATTACGAGGGAACATAGGGTCGGACAGACATATGCACATAGATATAAATAAAACACATAACGCTCCTTTGTTTTGCTTGGTAAAAACCGTTTAGGAAAACTGATAGTGTTTCCTACAGAATTTGTGTATGACCTCAAAGGTCACTAACAAAATTGAAGTGTGGAGATGACGATGCCTGTAGGGTGTAGGGTCACTAACTGAGTGATATTATAATTAATCTCGAACATGATAGAATAAAATATAAATAAAATTATTTATATCATTAATGTTTGTGCGCTGTATACTATCGTTGTGTGATAACGGCGATGGCTTTAGAGTAATCATTAAAAATATGAAACGCCATTTATAATACTACTAGCGACTCACTCTTGCTTTGCTCGGGTTCGTCCCTATACGTTTTAACGGTTAGTAGAAATATAACATGCTTGTATTATACATATAAGCCTTCCTCTTGAATCACTCTATCAATTGCTAAAAACTGCATTAAAATCTGTTGCGTAGTTTAAAAGATCTAAGCGTACAAACAGCGGTAGCGTCTCTCTTTTATACTATATATAGATATAGACTAGCGACTCATTCTCGCTTCGCTCGAGTTCGTCCTAAGGTTTTAACGGTTAGTATGGATATCCCACGGAAACCATACCTTTTTCCGGGATAAAAAGTAGCCTATGTACTTTTCCAGACTATAATCTATCTATATATCATATTTCATCCAGAAACACCAACAACCTCTTTATAGTATTAGTATAGATAAATATAATCTATACTGGTCTGGTATACTATAATATTATAAAGAGGTAAAGTTTGTGAGTTTGTGACGTTGTAGGGGGTAATCCCTGGATCTACTGAACAGATTTGGATGAAATTTGGGATGAAGATAGTTTGAGACCTTCGAAAGGACATTTTTAATGACAAGGAGTTACTTTTTATCCCGAAAATCATCCCTTAGGGGAGTGAAAATGGGGATGAAAATTATTTTGACAAAACTGACAATTACTTTTTTAAATATTGTTGTCATGATGAACAAACTTAATAGTTAATAACGTCAATCTGTCAACTCACTATTTTATTTTTTAAAACAAATTTTTCACTTTTCCGTATTTTCCGTAATTTTTCAAATATCTCTTTCACCCAAATCTTGTCTCGACAGTTACAAACACAACAAAAAAAGAGTTAGCCAAATAGGTGCAGCCGTTCTGAAATAATTCGCTTACATACATTTGGCAATTGATTTTTATTTATATAGTTTATCTATCTATACATAATAAAAAAATTCTGACTGAGTCGAATCTGTACATTAAATATTTTTTGGAAAATCTTATTGGAATAGACATAATTATCGATACTATGGCCTAATCTATGGTTTTTAGAATTTTTCTCTGTCTGTCTGGGAACGCATCACGAGAAAACCACTAGAGATTTTGATGAAAATTAAATTGTAATTATATGTATAAATATGTGTGTATATTAACAAGTTTATCTCATTATTTTTGTATATATTGTGTTGTCTGTAGTAGGTCCTGATTTTACAACGAATCGCTCTGTTTCTACACGTAATCAGATTAGTGTTTTTTTTTCTCCTTTTTACCGGTCATTCTATATATAACGTGCATTCTGCATTCAACGCGACATTGGCGAAGTAAATTGTGCCCAAAGGCACTCCTAGAAGCCACAAACCTAAAGAATTGAATTGAATTGAGATTTTGATGAAATTTGGTACGATTATAGTAGGTTATCCGGGTCAACATATAGGATATTTTTACCGCGGGAAAATATCTCATCTCTGAGAAATCTATACTAACCGATAAAACGTATCTAGGGACAAACCCGTGCGGAGCGAGTGTGAGTCGCTAGTTATACATGTATCTAGTAGGTCAAACGATTGAAATATAGGGTATTAATTTTTCTTAAGTGAATAATTATATATATATATATATATATATATATATATATATTTTAAAAGACATTCTAACTAATAGCGTGGACGCCCCGAGTGAGATCGCGAGTCGCCACCATACTGTAATATGATTATACGACACTGATAAAAAGGTCATGTTTTTCCCCAGAACTGATAAACAAATAGTCACTGCAAAAAAACAATAAGTATATGTGTATGTATGTACTTATGTACGCATGTAAGAAGTTATACTTCTTTGGCGTAAGAAAACAAAAATATCTAAAAATTTCATCCCGTATGTCACAACTCTCTGTTTAATGTATATTGTATGTTGTTGTTGGGACATTAACACACAGCACCATCTAGTTCCATGATAAGCTACGGGGCTTGTGTTATGGACACCAGATAGTTGATACACTACACATATATAACTTTAAATATATACATATTATAAATATAAACACCCATGACTGGCGTACAAACATTCATGCTTATCACACAAATGAATGGCTCCTAGCGGGATTCGAACCGGCGGCCGCTGGCACAGAAAGTAGGGTTACTACAAACTGAGCCAAACGTGTCATCAAAGTTTGTAAAAGGAATGCAGCTAACTTCATCATGTCGTTTTTTGGCTTTCAGTGTGCGCGCGCTTAAAAATTTTACTCTCATATTTTTTCCAAATGTCCCAAAAGAAGTATAACTTCAAGAAAAGATCTCTTACATTTCAATCTATAGCAAAAGTCAACATTATAGTACATATTTAGCATTTCACTTTCCTTTCCTGCATTAAGTTCAGGGAAAGAAATATTTGTCCTTAATTAGCAGCAAATTCAAAGTCAAGTGATTGTTTTAAAGATCAATAAATTACGTGTACCAAAGTTTAATTATAATATTGCTTTATCAGTTACAGAAATGCCACAATATATATAATTATTTATCTCTTTAGGTAAATTTTACACTTTTTATCAGATTTATATTTATGCACTGGCGATTTACCCTCTCTTCGTTCGTCCCTGGGTGCGTTTTAACGGTTTGTATGGAATAGAAAGACTGTATATATTATATACATAATATATACACATAGATATGATAAGTTGTTGTGGGTTGTATGATAACGTGTTTTCCCATAGAAATGAGATCTTCCCCAGTAAAAAGTAGCCCATGTTTCTAGCCCTCCTACTATCTCCACACAAAAAATCATGCCAATCCATCTCTCTGTTTCGACTTGAAAGAAGAAGAAACAAATAAACAAACACTTTCACATTTATAATATTAGTATGGATGTATATTTGTATGTAAGTATTTATGTATGTATTTAGGATATGTATTTGTGTGTAGCAACTACACTGCATACCATATATAAGTACTTCTACACCCTAAGGTCACCTGGAAGATCCCTTAAAGCTATTAGGCTGCCTCCCGTGCATCATATCCTACTAATATTATAAATATGAAAGTTTGTCGGAATGTATGTATGGATGTTACTCTTTCACGCAAAAACTACTGAATGGATTTGATAAAACTTTACAATAATATAGCTCATACATCAGAATAACACAGACTACTTTTTATCCTGGAAAAATGTATGGTTCCCGGATAGATTTGTTTTTGTTTTTCTAGAGACGAACCTGAGCGAAGCGAGGATGAGCCGCTAGTATTTATTAATTTCTTTTGTAGTCTACAATAAATTATAATTATATAATACATAGTCATAAATAATTCTGACTATATTATAAAAATACAGAGTTTATTGTTACACAAACAATATGAAGCTTATTATAGATTCTGACCCACTAAGTATAAAGCATTCATAAATTTGTATAAGAGTTCAGAGAACAAGAGGTCTATTATAATCATGAAAGTTTGTTTCTCCATGCTAAAATTGCTGGATAGGTTTGGATGAATTTTAGTATACTGAAGACTATGGACCTGGACATAGGCTTCTGTTAGACAACTGAGTGAAGCACCCGATTGGTTTTATATGTAAATATTAGAGGTGAACTATAATGGAGCATTTCTACTTTATATTTTGCTCCTTTTCCAAAGTAGCCCAAGTCCATGAGCAAAAATAGGTTAGAATGTTAATTTAAAAATATATGCCTACATGAATAATGCTAACCTGAATTTGTATTTAAATACATATGTATTTTATGTATTTAACCAGTTAATTAGTTCAAATTTATTTAAAAACAATTTACACCTCATTATAATAATAATATTAAAGTACCTAATTTAAAGTTAAGAAATATACCTATATAAATAAAAACTTGTTTATTTTATTATAATTAGCATATCTGTTCTAAATATTTCTATATCCGGGAGACCAATGTCGCAAAGCGTAAAAACAATAGAGTTTGTGTTTGACATAATATAGTTATATTAGCAATAAAACACGTCTTTAGAACATTATGGTTGTTTCAATTAAATTATTTAGTTTATCCTCCACCAAGTAATCAAAATATCTGCCATTTTGATTTTGACATTACAAAATACAGGGATCTAATAAATTAATAAAACTTACCGCTCATTCTTTAATTCCTAATTATGTTCATTTCAATAATATTCAGCACAAAATTCAACAGCACATAAATAATTAACACTATATTTTTTAATGATATAAACAATAAAAACAATATATCACTTAGTTTTTTCACACGTCCACAAACACGGTTGTTTCGAATGACACTAAATGGAGTTGCCAGTAACTAGTAAGGTATTTGCAATTTACGTTTTTTTAAAACAAAATTTTATACCAATTATTAATATTTGTTAGAACTAATTCTAATAGGCTGACGACATCTGGGAGAGGAGAGGCACCGACAATATAGATAAATAATTTGAAAACCAATAAAAACTCATAACATTGCACTCATTGAGATTTGAGGTCCTATTGCTTATATAACAAAGTCGCTATTTGCATTAATATATGGCTATTTTGCTTTTAACTGAAAAAATTGAAAGATAACACGAGCTACATTAAGTATAAAATATATCATTAATGTACATTAAAATGGATACTTACATCATATTATTGTGTGGCACTCTCGAAGATATCATTTATCTAAAATTATGCGAAGCAAATAATGAAGTTTTATTTTTAATAATTGAATATTACAGTAATTTTTCAAATCTACAAATTATTTTGGTAAAAATCAAATATATATAAATACTTACAAAATAATTTTTTAAGTAATACTTCTTTGCATAAGTACATACACACTTTTTTTAAATTGTTTATAATATATATATTTTTTTTATAATAAATCATAATAAATACTTGAAATGAAATTTGAAATGAAATGAAATTTATTTATTTAGTATCAAATTCCTATAAGTATACAGTAAACAACAATGGCTACGATGATACTGCAAAAGTATAAACTGCGTTGCAGATATCAACACCCGCCACCGTACAATATTTAAACTATTTTATAAAAACTAAAAAACAATAAGATGATGATGATGTATGTGTGAGTGTGTATGTGAGTGTGTATATGTGTGTGTGAATGCAAAATTCTTTAATAAACAATGGTCAAAAGTTCTTCAGTCTCGTCATACGTAATGGATTTAAGCCATGCTAAGCATACAGATTTGCAACGATAAGATGTGAGTGGATATATATTCAATAATTTATTGATTTTATTGTAGAGTAAACAGCTTAGATATGGGTAATGACGTTTTGCAACCGCGGTTCTTGCAGAATGAATTTGACATATAGCGTGGGATCTGCGTTTAGTACATAATATAATAGGGTTTTATGGAAGCTCAGAGTGTTTTCGAAGAACAATTTGTAAAATAAAAATTTTCCTCACGGATAAGACATTACTAAGAGCGTATAAATCCGCCGTGGGGAAATAGATTGGCTTATTGAACATAACTTTTAAAACTGCTCTCTGGGCCCTTTCCAGTCTCAACATTAACGTTTTAGCAGATCCACCCCAACACGTAATGCAGTATGAAATAACGGATTGACACAGAGCATAATATACTGTTTCTTCACATTGAAAATCTACCACATTCCTTAATTTCCTGAAAATAAATATGAGTTTTCTTAGTCGCAACGCTACTGAATGGATTTGCTCTCTCCATGCCAAATTGCTATCAATTATGACGCCAAGATATTTAACACTGGAACTTTTTTCTAACACGGGGCAATTACACTGTTTAATAGTCAGTGAACAGACGTGTGCACGAATTGTCAAACAAGGTCGAGCCTGTACTAAAGTAGAGGGAGCTAAGGTAAGGTATTTTGTCTTATCCACATTAAGAGTGAGCAGATTGCAACCAAGCCAACTTATAATAGCTCTTAGCGATAATTCTGTGGAAGCCTGAGCTTCTGCCCATGTTTTACCGCTAGTAAGAAGTACAGTGTCGGTGCGTAGACTAAAAGTTTACTATTAGGTAGGCGGAGCATGCAGAGCTCATTTATGTAAATAAGAAAAAGAGTAGGACCAAGAACACTTCCCTGAGGGACACCGAAACTAACAGATTCTTCCCTACTTCTAAAGTTATCAATGCATACACACTGCTGACGTTTCTCAAGATAGTTTTTGAAAATTTTAAATGCAAGGCCTCTAACTCCAACAACAACCTTCCAGATCATTCAACAAAAGATGTATGGAGACAGTATCAAAAGCCTTAGCAAGATCTAGAAAAACAGCAATCGATTTAACTTTATTATCAAAATTTTTAGTTATTTGAGCTGAAAGATTAAGAACTGCATCTTCTGTTGATTTACCACTACGGAAACCGAACTGATTTTCTGCTAAGATGTTTTTTTTATTCAAGTACATAACTAGCCTTTTATTCAGAATTTTTTCAATTTTTTTAGAAAAAGCGGTAAGTAAAGATATTGGCCTATAATTAAAGATATCACAATTTTTGTAAATAGGTCGTACAACTGCTTTTTTAAAAGAACGTGGAAAGATTCCTTTTGAGATGCAAAGATTGAATAATTTGGTAAGGATCGGAATAAGAATATGCGCAGTGGCCTTAACAATAGATGTGGGTATACCATCCCAACCAGTGGCAGTTTTGTCTTTAAGACTGATGATAGCTGTTTTTACTTCTTTTTCAAGTCAATATTATACGAGGTTTCTTGTTTACGTGTTATACTGTCTGCTAAGTTTTTACCTACGTTTGCAAAATACTGATTAACATAATTTACTGATTCCAATGGATGATTACATATATCCAACAGTTCCAAACAGCTTCTTTCTTTTTGGCCCATATTAACTATTTTTTTAATTAGACTCCAAGTTTTACCTGGACTGTTTTTGACTTTATAGAACTCGTTCATTTCATATTCTCGTTTTACTTTTTTGAGTAGGTTATTACAAAAGTTACGGTAACGCAAAAATATAGTTTTTAAGTTTAAGTTGTCTGGATGCTTTTTATATTTCCTATATAAGTTATCCCTATGGCGAATGCATCTTATGAGACCAGGAGTTATCCAGGGCTTAATAATTCGTAGTTTGTTAGATAAGCACTGTATTTTAGTATTCGCTTTGATAGCGCTAGAGACTGTGTCAATTAATATATCAGTAATAACATTGGGATCAGTAGATGTAAAAATGGTAGATAAATCAGATTGCTCTAGACAAGAAACAGTGCCCTGAATATCGATCTTATCAGATGTTGGATTAGCCAAGTGTGTTTGTGCTTTTATGTTACAATAGAATAAAACAGGTGCATGATCGGAAATATATGAGTCCAAAACCATAGCAACAGTACAATTTGTAGACCTAGATATGACATGATCTAGGCAGTTATTTTGTCTAGTTGGTAGTAGATGAGCAGGTAGCATACCATATGATGCGAGCTTGTTCAGATGGTCATCACTATTATGAGAGTCATTATCTACAGATATATTGATGTTAATATCTCCCAAAATTGTAACATTCACATAAGTATTTAATTTGTTTAGGGTTTTATCGAGAGATTCTATAAACGGTTTAAGATTGATAAACGAAGGTGAACGGTATATGGCTATAATTGCACAGTTGTTTAATTTTAGTAAGATACTGTTAGCTTCGATAATATCAGTCGATTCAACTGTGCATTTCAGATTTGATCTTATGTAAACAACAACTCCATCATTTTGGTTAAGGTGTACACTTACAACCATTTACCGTCCATCAAACCATCGTATTATTAATAAAATTTCAAAAATTTAATATTTGTTAATAATAGCTGTCCTATAACAACTTTAAAGAATCCCTAAGGCTAGATAAAATATTTTAAACTGGCGACACAAAGATTCGCAACCGTATTACGATTTACGTTACACGAGTGTGCGACAAGGACAGCTATATATACACAATATCGGACAATATCCTCACCATGATCTACGTAATGAGTTGTAAACCTTTATATCACGTATGTTAACTTGTAGGTAATGTTATTATAAATAGTCTTAGAACTATTTACTATTATTCTCAATGTTTAGTATAGATTTCTCAGAGATGAGATATGAGATATTTTCCCGCAGTATAAAGTACCTATTCTATAAGTTGACCCGGATAACCAGCTATCATCATACCAAATTTCTTCAAAATCCCTTCAGTGGCCTTTTCGGAAAGACAGACAAAAAAATTCCAAAAACTATAAATTCGGTCTCTGTATCGATAATAATGATTATTTCAATAAGATTTTCCATATTATATTCTATTCCATGTACCGTCGGATACCACGTACCTATAGATAAAACCTTTTCGATGGAGAAATATATTTTTTTTTAATATATACAATTAGTTATTTTCCACCACTCGCGTCTAACCTAGGTATATGGTATGGTATATAGTGAAGCATGTAACCATTTCGAATTTTACAAAATTTCGTTAAACTGTTACCTACATGAACAAAATTCCCAGCAAACTCACTTCTCCACTGACTACGATATTTAAAATATTATATTTATTGTTATTGAAAGAGAAAGGGGTGAATGATGAGATGACGAGTAATAGGGGAGAATGGAAGAGGAAGACTTATTTCGCCGACCCCAAGTGACATGGGAAATGGGCGGGAAGGTGCTTGCACACAGGAGTTAATAAATGTTAGTAAATATTTGTAAGTGAACGAACTTTTTAACGCAAAAAAAACAATATATTAAAAAAAATATGTCTTTTTATTAAATGTTATCTACTAACACTTGCTAACAAAACAATTCGAGTAAAATAAGTATAATAATTTGTAGCTTTTGTTATAAAACATTAAAATATTAAATATTTTCAAATATATAACCAAACTAATCCGAAGTGGTGGTTATAAAATGTTAGGAAATGTTCTACAATATGTTTTATCAGTGTGGAAGCTTTGAAAACATGCAATAATATTTAACATGTTAATGATTTCGTGTTAAAAATTATACTTAAAACATTTTTTAACTGCTGTGTGGAAGCAGCATTATACTAGGCTAACACTAGTAGCGATCTGCCCTTGCCTGCCTCGCCACGTTACAAACATACATACATAGATACCTAATATACATACGCATTAATATTTATAATAGTTTGCGTTGAATGTAGACTAAAATTGTCAAACAAACAGTTGTAGTTAATGGTTATATGTAGGTACGAGTATGTCAGAGATATCAACAGTTAAATAATACTTTCTTAGATTTACGCGAATATTTGACATTTTAAATAAAACTATCTTTTCGGATTTTGTCGCGGATTTATTTGGATTTTTGTTTCCCGACGTTTCGAATGCTTTACAGCATCCATGGTCACGGGAGAGACTGAGGTGTTACATGTCTTGAATGTATAGTTGTTACAGACAGCCTACCCACAATTAACAAAATGAATGAATTTTAATTATAATTGAAATTATAAAAATGTTTAAAGTTAAAAAATATTGTAATGTAATTGGTGCAATTTTCATTAGATTTTCAGTAGAGTAGGTACATTTATTATTTATCATGCATGTACATATTATTATTACTTTTACATCGATTTCAACATTTGTAAGGCTAAAGCTAAGGTAATGCTGATCAAGTGCGAGTTGGCGGACTTCACAATGTCACATATCTTTCAAAAACTTGCTAGGTTCTCTCAGACATACAGGTTTCCTCAAGATGTTTTCCTTCAACGTAAGGCAAGTGGTAATCAAGATGGAAATGATTCGCACATGAAAATATCAAATGTGCGAGACCCGGGATTTGAACCCGCTTCACTCAGTTTCCCAAGGGAGCGCGTTACCACTGGACTACCACTGCCTGTACATATACTAAGCTTATTCTAGATGACAATAGAATGAATATATAGTTAATGTGTAATAATTCTTAAAACTTCTTAAAAAGACATAAACCCTCATCTTATCACCTCTACTGGTGACAGGAGAGCTGACTCATTTTTCGCCCGCGGCTCCGACCGCGTTCAGATGACCAAAAACCAAATTCTTAGGTTTTACATGTAAGTACACACTCTAACATAGCAGTTTTTGTATTTTTTCTCAGAGATGAGATATTTTCCCGCGATAAAAAGTATCCTATTGTTGACCCGGATAACCAGCTATCACCATACCAAATTTCATCAAAATCTCTCAAGGTTTTTCTGTGATGCGGTAACAGACAGACAGACAGACAAAAATTCTAAAAACTATAGATTCGGCCTCTGTATCGATATTAATGTCTAAGTATTTCAATAAGATTTCCAAAAAATATTTAATGTACAGATTCGACTTAGAATTTTATTATACTTATGTATAGAATTTTTTTTAATTTATAGCAATGAATCCAAAAAGGAGAATTATGTGTCTGACCTGTATGTATGTATGCTACATACATACATACAAATCAAACACAAAATTCTCTTTTGGCTTCACGGCGGTCGGGTAAAAATTAACGTAACTCATAATTCATCCATTTATTCAAGCCGCTTGCACCTAATAGTCTATTTATTATATTTGAATATTTTATTTTAATATAAAGTTATATTTTGATTATAAATTTTGTGTTATTATAAACAAGAAGAGAAGATTTTAATCGACCTACTTATACCCAGTTCCATAAGAAATACCTTCCACACCCTGCCATTAAATAAATACTATTGATATTAATTGAAAAAAGTAATAAATAAAAAAAAGTACCTAGTTATTCCTTAAGGTTTTCTTAATTAGATTTTTTGTCTATCTGTTGTTGTTCAATCATGCTAAACGCAAAACGGCTGAACTGACTTTGATGTCAATTTTTCAATAAGTAGTACAAAATATAAATTAAACATCGATCTAGCGATTCAATATCTTATTTGAGATTAAAAAACCTACATGTGATAGTAACCAGGAAAAATAATTTTCTTCTATCATTTTCATTAATTGCGAGAAATTTTCAAACAAACGAGAAACTTAAAGCCCTTTATAATTCATCCCCCCCTTTTAAAGTTTAAATATTTTAGCATCCCAATGGCGTGACCAGACCACGCCCACCCGCAGGCCACGCCCACCGGCCGGCCACGCCCCCGGAAACCACCCCTTACGTCAGTCAGCGATCGGAAGTGATAACAGAAGGTGAATCGTTGTGATATTTTGTGTGAAAATTGTGCGATTTTACGGATTTTTTCAAATGTAAGTATACATGTTCACAAATCTTTACATATAATAAAATTCGGAGTCTAATCTGTAGGTACGTTAAATATATTTTGAAAAATCTTGTTGAAATTTTCATTAGGTACTATCGATATAGAGGTCGAATCTATAGTTTTAAGAATTTTTGTGTATCTGTCTGTCGGTCTGTCTGTCCGTCTGGGAACGCATCAGGAGAAAACCATGCACAGATTTTAATGAAATTTGGTATGATGATAGCTGGTTAACCGGGTCAACATATAGGACACTTTTTACTGCGGGAATATCTCATCTCTGAGAAATCTTAGATTCTACCTTAAAACGGACGAATCCGAGTGGAGCAAGGGTGAGTCGCTAGTTTATATAGGTATACCTAATATTTAATACTTGATACGGTTTGTTTTTATACTATGAGTAATAAAGTCGTTTCATGTTGTTGATAATATCATATTTAACGCAATGGAATTATAATATATTATATTGTCATTATACTAACAAGCGCAACTTTAAAGTTTCATAATATTTTCATTTGTTGAGGTATTTTTAATATTTTTTTCATATTTTTGTTATATTTTCTTAAATTTATAAATAATAAAAAATGAAACTTTAAAAAGGAAACTTCTCTATTGTAGAGTTGTACCTCAACATTCTCCCACCATTCCGTTTTGGTAACATTGTTAATGTACATATATGTATTATTATAGATACTAGTATGTCGGAGTGCTGCGATAATATTTAAATGAATCACAAATCAAACGTTATTTAATACAGCTGCAATGCATTCAGCCCTTTTTAAAGTCCCACTGCTGGGCACGGGCCTCCCTTCAATACGAGGGGGAACAGGCCATAGTCCACCATGCTGGCCAAGTGCGGGTTCTTGGACTTCACAAGTCTTTCGAAAAACTTGTTAGGTTATTTCAGACATGCAGGTTTCCTCACGATGGTTTCAAATGATTCGCACATGAAAATATCAGAGGTGAGAGAACCGGAATTTGAACCCGCTTTACTCGGTTTCCCAAGCGAGCGCGTTACCACTGGGCAGTGGGTTACTACTTACTACTGCTACAATACAATAATTATAACAAGTGTTCACCGAGTGGTCGAAATTCGAATTTACCTTTTATGGTTTGTGTCTTTTGTTGAGATCCTTAACAAAATAAAATAATTAAATAAATTAAAAAAAATTATAATATTGACAACAGTATTTAGCTCATAATACTTTCTTAGATTTACGCGAATATTCGACATTTCAA